TTACAGATCATAAAGTGGCTTTTCTCGCAGGGCCCGGCAGGCCCGGGGCGGGCCTGCTTTTTTTGCTCCTTTTGCTCTGTAACTCTGTTCATAGACAAGATACAGTATTCCAAATAATACCGTTTTGTAGTACTCGTAGAGCTCTATCATACCTAATTGAGTTGGTTCGAAAACATTGATTCTGAAAGAAGTTATGGCAGGGCCATCGAAGGCCCGGCAAAGGCCCGGATTACAAGTATGCTTTTTTTGCTTTTTTCGAAACGAATTTTTGATTTCCAGTTTGGCCCTTTAGACCCTTTATGATACAATTTGATGAATTTTCAAAATTTTCAAAGTAGAAAGAAGATTTTATCAGAACTTGATGAAAAATTTATTGATGATCCCCGTCTGAAAACACTTCCCTTGTTAGATTTATAAAGAAGTCAATTGACATTATAAAGAAGTCAATTGACATTTTTTGATTTTCTTACACTTTCATCGAGCCCCGTCGGCTATGGCTGACTGAGATCCCAAGCGGATATCAGTGAGTCAATGGTTTAGCTGGTTCGATAGTGTACTGAAGATTGTAACCTGTCATCTGAATTCTTCTGGAATCTTTAGAATCTTTAGAATCTTTAGAATCCTTAGAATCCTTAGAATCTTTAGAATCTTCCTTCCCTTACTAAATAGGTCCTAGATTTATATGATTTTGGAAGAAGTCAATTGACATTTTTTGATTTTCTTACACTTTCATCGAGCCCCGTCGGCTATGGCTGATTGAGACCCCAAGTGGATATCAGTGAGTCAATGGTTTAGCTGGTCCGATAGTGTACTGAAGATTGTAATTTTACACCGTTGTGCTCCTAAAAGTTTGTACTCTTAAACAGCTGAATTCTTTGCTCCTTGAATGATGATTGAAAAAATTCTTTCCCCAAAAAATACATTTTTGAAATAACTCGCTTCGGACCATTGGCCACTGAATAAATGAATCGAATACTTAACTTTCACCTATATTTTCAAGGACAGCTTGCCTCTTTCTGCGCGTCGAAGGCGCGACAGCCATATGTCCGACACCCAACTTAAGTTCAGATTCGGATCATATCAAACTCTTCCATGTCTAGAAAAAACAGAACGAGCTAGGAATAATAGTTTCATATAGCAATCATATTTACACAAAGTGTTTCAAAAAAGGCAACAACGGGGGTTTCAAGCACATTTCTTCAGTGGCTGAAGTCAGTAAAAGTGGAAAAGGGACTCGTTTTGTATGTGTCGGTAGGAGAGGTGTATAAGGGTACAAAATAAAGACTAGTAATGTAGGAACAACAATAAATAGGTTTCACGATATAAACTTGTGAACAGGAAGAAATAAAACTTTGTGATGAGAGGGAAAATATAAGGAAGAGAGCACGAAATCGACCCGTTTAGTGTATGCTCGATGAGTTTTAGTGTCAATGAACAGCTAGAACGGGAGAAAAAAGAAAAACAACTAAATTAGTGACTAGAAACAACAGATATAACAATGGGCTACCGCAGAAGTAGTGTCTGGGAGATGTAATCAGCAAGAGCCCGGTAGCAGAAAGAATACTGCTCGAAACGGGTGAACATCATCGGTCTATGTGATTGAAGGCCTTTAACGGTTTGGAAGATGTCTATCCGTTGCTCAGCTTTCTGTCGAAGCATCAATAGAGATATACAGATGAAGATTCCGGTCTCCGATGAACCATTTCTGAAATTCGAAATTTATAGAAAGTCAATCGAAATCAATTGAACATACCTGCAATGAACAACAATAGGCGCTCGAGACTCAAGAAGATTACTCTGTCTCTGTAACACCAAACTGATCAGATTCATCAGACTGTTAGGTGATCTGGGGACAAGTGCTTCCGTGGGCCATGCTGTGTACGAGTACTGCGTCAGGTCTTGATTCGGAGATGTCGAATCTGCATTCTTCATGGTGTATGTCAAATGTCGAACGACAAAGTCTTGGTGTTGTTCCAGAGAAACACATGAAACGTCGATTGCATTTCGGCCTTCTTGGAAGTGACAATCGGTACCAGGTCCTTCGATCGGCCAGTACTTCAAACATATATAGTTAATAGAGATAAGGTGTTATCAAAAGCTTACCTTTTCTGAGTCACTCCAATCGTTTTCATCGCTTAACATCACCACTGTTGTCACCTTCTGATCAGCTATCATTCTCCAGAAATCGAAAACGGTAGAAGATGAGGTACCAACAGGATCTTGAGCAGCGATGTAATCGTAGAAATATCCCTTGATATGAGAGGCGTTTATGTAGGATGAATCAGCGTGTCCGATGGTTGGTGGAAGTATAACTCTGTACTTATCATAAGGCACTGCTGCTTCATATCGATTCTTTAAAAGATTCTCCTCCTTCGAAGCAAAAGATGTTGGGAGTCCAGTGGCTAGATTTCTTTCGAGTTTCTTGAATTCTTCTTCCAATCCAGTTTCACTATTGGAAGTGAGAATCGATTCCCGTGAGGAAACAATAGCAACTCTTGTAGAGATTGATCCATTTCCTGATGACGATTGATTGAAACTCACCGCCCGATCTCGTGATGAGGAGGCGGCCGTACTTTCACACAGTAATCTTTGATAATGTTCTTCAAAATCAGCAACATCCATGTCAGTGTATCCGTACATGTGCCATTCAGCCAATGCTTTGTAAATGAATACGTATTGCTCAACGGACTGAACCATTAGATTTCTCTGACGACGGAGATTACACACGAATTCGAATACATTCGCTTTTCTTTCTGCCAGACATTGGTCGAACATTGAATCGATTGTGATGAACGTTCCTGTACGACCTACTCCAGCACTAAAATAATTTCGAACTTTCGAACTGATTCTAAATTGATAAAATACCTGCAATGTATGACGACTGGCGAGTTGTTGAACTCTGGCAATTCTCTTAGAATATACATGAATCGAAGTAATCCAGTGGAGCACTCTGGAGCCTTGTAGTCGTTCCAATTTGTGAAATGATATTGGAGAATGTGACGAGCTGAAAATCAAATACGTGGCTACTGTAGGCAGCTACTCAGTTTACCATTCTCTGCAAATTGTCCCTTGACGATTGGAACATTCGCGTACTCAACTCCATTTTCATTCAGAATCACATCCCTGGATAATGGAGAATCAGAAGGGGAAGTTCAACATAAACAGCAACTTACGGTCCACACTCTGCTATATGAGCAATGTCAAACTTTCGGACAACGTAATCAGAATGGAAGGAAACACTGGTTGGTTCTACAATTATATCGCCATACCTGAATAAAATGATATTCAATCAATTCGAAGTGTTTTATAATACCTAGATATCTCTTCATCTGGCCAGTATTTTGCACATTGCTGCCTATTCTTCTCCGTCAGATTTGCAACCATCACTATCAATTCTGATTTCTGCTCCCAAATCATTCTCCAAAAGTCATCAATAGTAGCCTCGACAGGTGCTTGTGCAGCAATGAACAACTTTTTCTCTTTCCAACTTTTGATGAAATTCGCATTTATGTAGTCCGAGTGTTCATCTCCTCTGATTTGTTCCAGCTTGACACGTGTCTCATCGAATGCTCGAATGTCGTTGTATCTGTTCTTAATAGCGTTTTCCTTCCGGTTGCTGGCTACTGTATTCATTGGGAAATGTGGAAGAGCTTCATACTCTTGAACGAACAGGAAGTCCGAGTCCCTATGACGAGTAACATATTCTGTTGGAAGGTCTTCAACTGGGATCGCTCCAAACGTTTGCTTTAGAAGAGTTCTTTCTACTACATCTTTCGATGCCATTTTTGAAATGAATGGTGGGCACCAGTCCGATAAAAATTGATTTTTTCGATTGATCATGAACAATGACAAGCAGGTGGCACAAACCAAGAAAATGAGAATCGGTAGAACGATTTTCACAAACACTCCATATCCGCCACTGGAAGAATTCGAATCTAGTAGAATCGGTTTGAAGTAACCCGAATATCCGTAAGCTGGACCGCTTAGATGAAGTTGACGAAGGTGTCGAGTAGCAGATGAAGAAGTACGAGAACGTTCGGTTGTTGGAGAACTTTTGTCTATTCTGAAAAATACTAGTTTGAACGTAACCGAATCGAATCAATTGATACTTACAAATTTCTATAAATACTCGATCCATTAGTACCAGAAGGACCTCCTTTTCTGTTTACTTCTTCTTCTTTATCGACTCGAACAATCAAAAATCCAGTGTATTTCAACCCATTCCTCAATGCAAGATCTTCTGCTGTGTAGCGACTGAGATAGCGGACGTTGCACGCCTTCAATCCACTGACTCCTAGGCCGTCTCCTATTACAGTTTCCATTGGTAGCTCGGTATAGGATTCTGCCACGTAGGCAAAGAATCGTTTCTTTTCAGCTGCTGATGAATGGAGATTGTTGGCGTAGACTTTTGTAAATGAATCCATCACAATCTCGTTAGTTTCTGGTAGAAGATCCAATGAAACATTGGTTGGCAACGGAACAATCGCAATGTAATAACAACTTATAGGACCATTCATATCGTCAGGCGGATGAGAGAATGCCAGATTGAATGTCGTCATGTTGGCGGTGCGAAGAGTTTGTGGAGTTTCTACCAAATCTGGTTGAGCAAAGTTGGTGACACAATTCTTTTTGAAAACGGCTGGAAGAGATCGTCCAGCTGAATTTTCAGCCCACACGGAAACCGAATAGTTACGATTCGGCTGAAAAACATAACTTTTTTAAAAATCTAGTTCTATTTGAAAAAAAACTCACTTTCAAAGGTCCAAACTTGCAAGAATAGAAGTCGTTGGAAAAGTCGATTGGATTGATTCCGTTTTGTGCCGATTTGGACTCATCCTCATCCCAATTCGCACATCGTTTATCCACTTCTTCTGCAGATGGAAAATCATCCGGAGTAAGCGTTCCATCAGATTTTCTCATCGCTCCACGAACGGAAACAAAATATTTGGTGATACGACCATTTGTCTCGGCAGGAGTTTTCCATTCAACTTCACAGCTCAACGAAGATCCAGAATTCAGAATACGTACATCTTCTTCTTTGGGAGGGAATGGACGTTTCTGGCCGGTGGTAAAATGATGAGTTAACTCAAAAGGAACTGATCCATCTTTTCCTGACGCGAAGAGAGTGTAGGGAGTGGCAGCTCGCAGATCTTTGACCACAACTGGCGATGTTACGTTGTCTCCTCTGTATACCACAGCACCGCGAGTATCAGAACGACGAACAAGCCTGTAAATTTTACACTGTTTTCCACATTAATAATTCGTTCGGTTAATTGGTAAGCATAGGTGAAGAGGAAAGTGGCAACAGCAAGAAACGTAAAGGTGAAAGAAGGAAACTAAAAGAACCAAGGAAAACAGTTAGATTTCAACACAAGGATAATGAAAACACAGGTGTAACTCAGGAAACTGAAATGAAAAATCCACTTTATTCCCAATCGATGACACAGGTTTCTTACATATTAGCTTTTGGATCATTCGAATCCACTTTCAAATACCTTCGGCTTCGGTGGTGTGATGATTTTCTGTGTTATTGAAGTGAACGGGTAAAATGAGTTATTTCGATTAAGTTTTTGTGGGAAGAACGAAAATTGATATATATATTATGTTTGAATCTAGACAATTTAGTAGAAGCCTTGAATACATAACTAAACATTTCTCTCACCTCAAATCAATTGCCATTTCTTCTCCTTCTGATTCCCATGTTACGATTGCATCTCGTTCTGATGCAGTTACATTAAGTTTCGATATTTGACGAGGTGCTGAAAACATAAATTTGAGAAAATTGAATTAGATTTTTTTAAAGCAGGAATGGAAAACATTTTCATGCAGGTTGGGGAAAACGCGCATAATGGCTACTTTTGAATGAAAAATGTAAAAATACACATGCGTTTTTAATTGTATCCTAATCACTTCACAACAACTCCATTCTGAACTTACGAAGATAACCCGATGGAACGACATCATCATCAGAATTTTTCAATGCTGATGACGGTGACATTACTTTTTTCGGGCGTTTGTACCAGTAGGAATGAGTACGACGAGGATGTTCTAGATTTTATTTTGGTTTTCACTCATTTTCATATCTAGGTCGGTCATTTCAAAATTTTGAAAAACAAACCTTTAACTTCAAATTGCATAGTATCTGTGACATCTAAATCCGGTGCACTTGCAGTCACTCGACACATATAAGTTCCAGAATCCGATGTTTGAACATTTTTGATTTCGAGCTCCCAACAGGACTGTTTTTCGTGTACTCTTCGAGCAATTCCTCCTCGTGTAGACGGAGAGAAGGGATGAGATGTTGGTTCTCTCATGAGAGTTCCGTTTTGAATGAAAAACACATTTGCAACATCGATGAACCCTTCTGGATCCAGGTTTACACAGCAAAACATGGTGACATCGATTCCTTTGAACACTGATAGTGAAGGATGGACACGTCCAACAACTGCGAGATCTCCTACAAGAATTTTAGAATGATGGGAATCTTAAACTATGATAGGTTGACGAACTTTTATCACATTTGGTTGGCAGAAGAGTCGAATTCAGTCGGAGTGGTTTCTGATCGGCGGTGACGTAGACCGTATCGAACTGTGGAGGGCACACACATCCGTTCTGAAATATGAGATGAACAGGTTGAAGTTGAAAATTTTGATTCGGTTTTGGGGTTATATGTCCCATTCCACTAGTCATTGCTTCCTTCAGATCTAACTTTTCTTCAGCAAATTCATGAGTAGATCGAATTAAGGTACACAGACAACGAGAGACGCCACGTCGTTTGCAATTAGTATCATTTGGAGTTTTCAGTTATATGGAAGGGAGTGAAGGAGATGCATCGGGGTAGATCGAAATGGAAAACACACAGACCGCTCAGTCAGTAAATCGCGCTCAACTTGTTTTCACTTCGCACGGTGAATTACAAAGAACAAAGAACGATGAACGAACAGTAACTGTAGGAGCAATCATATGGTTATCATCGACAGAAGATGGTGATGACGGTATAAGAATTCATAGATTAACTTTTTCTTACCATGTAACATGTTGGATCTCTCAAGTCGTACTTTGACCGATAGTCTTTATCCATCACAAGACAGGGGGCAGTAGATCGACGATTTCCACACCGCGGGGGCACAACTGGAAGCATGGGGTTATAGCGGGGAAATGGGATTAGGATATGGGAAACTTACATGTTGGGCAACTTCTGGGACATAGGCAGATACCGTGACCATCCTTCCCACGATGACAGACTCCGCCATTGACGCAATCTTGGTTCGATTCACATACATGGACACCTACAAAAACTACTTTATGACACTTTCTAGAATTTTCAAATTACCTAATTCTTTGGCAGTTTTTGGGGGTTTCGGTTCAATTTTAGTCGAGTTCCAATTATCGATATTATCCTTTGTTTTTTCATTTTCTGCACTTGATCTGAAACTGTTTCAAACGTAGATTCTAATTTCTATAATTTTTTTTTCAGAATCTTACAAATCTGCGGCTTGTAACAGCTCCGTCCTGAGGTATAAAAGTATGACAGTGGTCCACCAGATCCATCGATTTATCCGCATTTTTAATCAGGAGACGTCAATTTTAAAAGAGCATCATTTAGAAAGGGAGAGGAGAAGCGGTATTGAAGATGTATATTTGTTGATCGGAAATATTTAGATGTTTCTTCTCTTAGTCCTGAAACAGAACGACTTAAAATGTATTGGTAAAGGAAACTGGTCGAGAGAGTAAGTGAACGTGAGAGTATACAGAGAAAACAAGGAGAAAGAAGAAAAAGAAGGGAAGGTTGACCGGCAGAAGATGAGCTCCTGTGAGGGAGGAATGACCAACTGACGAAGAGGGGAAAATAGTGTTGTGATTGGAGAGACGAGAGACATTAGGGAGGAATGAGATGATTTGTATTTTATGATCACCCCGTTCACACTTTTTATGGGTGATCAACACTTGGTGGTCGTTAAAATCAGTGTTCATCGTCTCTGCAATGACAATTTTCTGCAGCTATTTTCACAGAACTTTTGAAAATTTATTATCAGGTCAAAATTAAATTCTAGGTTAAAAAATCCTAGTAAAACGAAGAAACTTTAGAAAGTTTGAGGAAAACTTTTTTCGTTGTTAATCTCAAGACATCTTCCGTCTTCCCCAATCAAAACGAGTTTCAAATCATCAGATAATTGGATCGGAAGTGGCGTTACTAGTAGAATAGTAGAATCCATATTACTTTTATAAAATCTCGAAAAGAACCCACTAGAACATTCCTGTCAACACAACAACAAAAAATGGTAACCCGGTCCGGACGACTTGAAGTTTGTTTATTTGGGAAGAGACACAAAAAAGTATTGAATTGGAATTAGAATGAAATTGAAATTGATTCGACCATGAATAAAATCAATACAAAAAAAAGAATGAGTGAAAACAGATGAATGCGGTGTAAAAATTGACAGGTAGAAGAGAGAAAAAATCGGAAAAAAACGGAAAGTGTGGAGTTTGATAGGAATCCATATTACTGTTGTATATGGAAACGTTATTTTCAACAGTATCCTGATCTCATAACTTCTTGAATGTTGGTCTCTTCGAAGAGGTGAACTAGGGGATCCTTGGCGACCAAAAATGAGAATATCGGGATACGTGACACTGCCTAAAGGGAAGAAAACTAGGAGAACGAACTGATCGAATTGAGCGACACAGCTAATTAGACGTGTAGGTCAAACCACCCTCCAGATACATTCCGCCCACTTAAAAGGTATCATTGTCATCCCAATGTGCCACTTTAGCCCGAAAATAGGGAAAATACAAATAGAATGGAAAGGCACTTTTGGAAAGTAATGGAAAATCCTGAAGGACGGATGCCTTCGCACTAAACAGACTAGGATGGCGAGCGGACCGGTTTTGCAGAAAAGAAAGAATAGAAGGGGTCATCACCGGAAATTGAGTATTGTGAGGAAGTCAGGCGGTACACTCAGGTGGTGTTTCAGAAGATTTTTGTACAGCCATCCAGACTTAAAGGAACATGTTCTGCAGCGAAGACGTTGTTTTAGAAGAAGTAAACTTTTTGAAGTGTGTTGAGGGTTCTCTCTATCAGTCGGATATCCGAAAATCTCCGAAAATTACAGTATGAAATGCAGTGGATATATGTGAATTCAAAAATTACGAAATCAGTCCGAACCTATGGTCTCATTGGTTTTCACTCTGCCAACAGGCGTCAGTGAAATGAAGTGTGAGTGGGTGAATACGAGGAAAACCAGGAGAGAAAAGTGGTTTCACTACGCATCCTCTTCTTTTTGTTCTTCACAGATTTTTCTCGATGGTCGTGGACAAGTTGTGCAGTGGCTACAAGCTGCAGAAAAAGTGCAAAGGAGACAGATAGGAAGAGGGTCAGTTTGAGAATGAACAGATGTCTGTGTGAATGCGTGTCCTTCTCTACCAAAGAGGTCCACGGGAGGACATACATTTGCACCTCGGGGTCATCACACAGAAAAAAGAAAATGACTGACTGAGTGGGAAATAGAAGAGGATTTGAGGAGAAACGAGGCATGAACATCTGTCTTTTTGACAAAGCACCCCCCCCCCCCCCCCCCCCCGACAGAAGATAGATCCGGTGACACCTACTGACCCGACAAATCAAAAGGAAAAAAGGTCATCATGATTCAGTTGAGGGCTGGCTCAGGGGATTACACTTCATATCAAACTACTCATGAATTACTGATGGTATAAAAACTGAAACAAGGGAAGTATCAATGTCTGAGAGCAACAATATTCCTTGTGCCGATCCGAAGCTAGTTCATGGAAGGAGGACACCCGAAAAGAGTAATCAAATAATCCAAACAACACACATAAACATTGAATGCCGGCTTTCTCATTTTCCGTTTCATGCTCCCCCACAACCACCAAACATTACGAGCCTTCTTTCCGACACGGACTATTGTGATTTGACGGCGATTTTAAATTTATTGGGTTACCAAATTATGGGAAGGAAGATGGATGTCGAGTTAGAGATGGAAACGGGTGTGCGGGTTTCGTACACATTTCTTCACTTTTGACGTGAAAAGAAGGCGACGAAATGGGAAAAGATTCTGGATGTCTCCAGGGAAAACGGACGGACCGGATATGAGCTTAAACGAAAGGATTTGGAACGATAAGAATCTAGCTTAAAGTCACTGGGTTACTGTAGAAACAAATTGGTTTCAAAACCTTGCACAAGGAATAAAGATTTTTGTAGAAATTAGCAACCAACAAGTTACCCTTCCGAAGCAAAATGAAAGTGTTCATACGTAAAGAAGAGCATGGGGACTCATTCAATCTTCCCATTCATCCTTTTGTTCATGCTCGCTCTTCTTTTCACTCAAGAGCATTGGCAGTCCGCTTCAATTCATTAATGCATTCATCCCCTCCTCCTCCTCTTCTTACTATTTTTATTTATGTTTACACCAATTGTGTTCGTGTTCGTCTCTTCCATCACAATCATCCTCAATAAATTGAAACGGAAGAATTGAGGAGGAGGAGGAGAGAAGATTATCACTCATATTACATACACAAACCTATGAATGTTCCGAAACATTCGGACAGCAGACGATGTTTGCTCACCAATACTCGTTTCCCATGATTAAAAAAATATTGGTGAAGGAGAAGGAATATGAGAATACTACACTGGTACAGAAAAATCAGAGCTGTGGAAGAGATAAATTTGTGGGCGTGGACAACGGTTTCCGTAACGAAAACTACCGTACTTTACCGTCTGAAATTTTCGGTCCTTTCGTGTAGATTACTATTGATTTTCGACAACTTTTGTATTAAAAACCCCCGAAAAAGTAGAAAATGAAAACTTCTTAAATCTAAAAAAATTGCCGGAAAATGGACGAAAATCGAGAAAAAAACATTGCTAATTACGGTAGTTCGGCCGCGGCCACCAGATTTTCTTTTCTACAGCTCCGAATTTGCATATCAGCATAATGAACAAATAAGAACCATATCCTATCAGTTGAAGAAGAGAGCCAAATAAAAGAGTCTCAGACCGAAAGTCCAGTAGGTCGCCAATAGTAAATCTAGGGTGTGGTCCTATACTTCCTCTCCAAAAAGAGGTGTCAAGTTTGATGTGTCCATTTTCGATTTTCCACAATTTTCAAGAGAGGATTAGAAGAAACAAGAAGTGGCAACCATGGGAAAAAAATGGGAGAACAGAAGTGAAATAGAAATGAGATACGAAGAAAAACGCATGATTCATGGGTATTAGTCGTACCTTTTCAACTCGAGATTACATGAGAGAGTGAGTGGCAGAAGAAAAGGAAAGACAGATTCAAAAACGAAAGGGTTACCTAAAATAGGGATAAGGATGAAATTTTGAATTTATACAAAAAAAAATAAAAGATGACTAATATTTTAAAATTCAAACCATGTTCCTTTTTAGCGAACAAACTTCGAAGTTTTGGAATGTTGACTATACACAACACAGGACTTTTTGAGGAAAAAAAATCATATAATTCAACATTCGGCACCGATAACAAAAACTGACGAAGGGAAGATTTTTGGGGCATGTGTTGGTTCTTCATCACTTGTTCTTCCTAGCGATAAACACTAATACATGCGGCGAAGAAAAAAGGGAAATTGGTTGAGACAAAGAGAAGGAGACAGAGAATTCTTCACCGGAAATGACAATCAATCGATAATCAGTGTCAGAAGAGTCAACGAGACGCAGTTGATAAAATACGGAATAGAAACAACATAAACATGACCAAACATGAGAGAGGGAGGAGGGAGAAGGAACGGAACGACATTCAATATTCTAATTGAGACTAGAGAGAGTATGTTGAAGTAGGAGAAGCTGAGAAATGGGCAGAGTGCCCAGTGAGTCACAAATGGTCATTGAGTGTGCATTTCTGACCAACTGGAGAGACGAGAAGCGGCTATTCAGAGCAAAAGGAAACAAAATGGTCATGGAAGAAACTAGTTGACATTTGAAAACTCTCAATGTTGAAATGGTGCTCAAGAAAAGCATTATCTGAAACATGAAGGTATACTGTATCCCAGAATAACTTATCAATTTCCCTAGAAAAATTATGGCCTTTTCAGAATTAAACCAGAATTTCGGAAAGTTCCAATTCTGAAATTTTCGAAATTTCGGAAGAATTTTATTTTGGAAATCTCGGAATTTCGGGATATTCTGATAAATTTCGAAAATTCCGATTTTGAAATTTTCGGAAAATCCGATTCTCAGAATTTCGGAATTTCTCAGCATTCAAATTTCAAAATATAAATTCCAATTTATCATTATTAAAAAAAGCGCAAAAGAAGACAAATAGAGTTTGGAAACGAGAAAAAAAGCTTTAAAAGTGATTCCGCTCAATACCCACATGCAAACTTTTAGCGTGCGCTTTTGATATACTGTAGTCCAAGTCTCGAATTCCTAAAAAATCGGAATTTTCAGAATTCCGTTCCGAAACCCCTTTTTTCTTTCGTTTTTTTACTCTAGCACGTCATTCTCTCCTATTGTCTCCCAAGACGAACTTTTTTTCTGTTACGAATTGATTCTTTCGCTGTTCGAATACCGAATCGAACAAAAAACATAGAAAGTCAAAAGGAATTGGGGAAAAGGAATTTATCAAGAAAACATAGGGTGTCTTTCTGACAACTGGTGGGAGGGTGTGGTTATCAATTTATTACATCAAATTGAACGAATAAGTGAAAGAAATAGTGTGTAAGATGAAGAGGTCGCAGAGAAGTGGAACGGCGAAAAAACGAGAGGTCCGCAGAATGCAATGATAAAGACTTGCGACTGTTTGTGATTCATCATTCTATGTGTGAATCGGAAACATAACAAATAATTGATAATTTGCCATACCGTAATCTCTTAACTCTAATTCACTGATAATAATACAGACTTTTTTAAATTTCAGAAAAGAAGGGGTTGTTTCACGAACCTAGAAATGTTACTTTGACAGGTTTTCCCGCAAAACTAACTAGCGAGAATCTCGAAAATGTCACAAAATCGCCGACCGATAGCCAGTCGGATCGCCTTGATTTTCTCTTTGAAATCACAATCATCAGGAGGCAAAGTGTTATGAAAAGAGAAGATCATCTGAAAGGATAATGCGGAATCAAGAGATTCAGGCAAAAGAAAAGGTTGTTAGTGTGTGAAAAGGGGAATTGATGATAGCGGGAGGACAAGAGAAAAAGGTTTCCGGTAAAAAAGATAAGAAAAATAAATGGGAGAGAATCTGGCAGTAGGAATCCAGGATAGCAGGCGTGAAACACAGTTCAAATGTTTCTGGGACAATCCCAGCATTTTTCTTACTCATGTAATAGGTCTACTTGACCCTACTCGGATGATTACCAGAGGATTTGCTGAACGATTTCAAGAAATTGCGAACATAATCCGCAATTCAGAGAAAAAGACAGTAAAAAAACCAAAATTTTCCAACGTGCAGTTTCATTCAAATAAGGCATAGACATTCCACACTGTGCATGAAAACAGGGATCTTATTATGAGCGTAATTGAGGAGTTTATGGTCCAGGCTCATAATAAACTGAGGGACGACGGAATACGATTATTATGTTTCATTTGGGATGGGACATACAATAGACTGGGGGCTGGGGAAATGGTTTGGGTTCTCTATGGGAGTCAATTTGAATTGAGTTCTGGAAAAAAAGGAGTTCTGTCAGGAAGATTCGAAAACAGAGCAAAATAGAACAAAATCGGGAATGGTTGTTGAGAGGAAGAAGGGAGAAATTCAGCAATGCTCTGTAACTTAATACAGGTTTTGAAAAGGTACAAAAGACGTATCCTTTTGAAGAAAAATGACAGATGTGTCTGGTTGCTTCAGAAGCACACACGGAAATGTAACAAAATTAAGGAAGCAATTGTAACAGTAGAGTTTACTCTAGCAGTGTCCGGCATTCGCATCGTATTGTTGTGTGTAAGATGAAGGATACTGATAAGCTGGTGGATATACGAAAACAGAAGGAGCCGTTGCATAGGGGGAGTATCCGGCGTATGGTCCTGGTGAACTGTATGGTCCTGGAGATGGTGGTAACGCGTATCCGAAAGCTCCTGGGGTGGTTGAGACCATCGCATAACCTGAAAAGTCTGTTCTTGATTGAAATTGTGAACATGTGTTATAAATGCGTTATAAGAATATATCTCATACCTGGTGGAAAAGCGTTAGCACTCATTTTACGGATCGCAGGTCCCAAGTTTAATTTGCGATTACGGAACTCGAGTTTCTTTGGATTGAGATGGCGAATCTTTTCTGCCTGGTCTTCCGTTTCGAATGTAATGAATCCATAACCTTTGGAATGACCGTCGAGCGACTTGACCATTTTAACATCTTTTACAGGATAAAACCTCTCGAAGTGATCACGCAATTCGGACTCGGTAGTCTGAATATAACAATCAGCTTCGAAGTGTTATTGTCTATTAAAATTAATCGCGCGGGCGAACGAGTAAAAATGTCTGTGTCTCTACAGCGCCTCTACAGGTTTGGAGACTCCCTACACTTTTTTTACTCGTTCACCCGCGCGATTATTTTGAATAGACAATAATGCTTTTAACTTACCGAAACAGGGAATCCACCAACAAAAATTCTGTTCGGAATGAGCTCGTAAGTTGGAGGAGCCGGTATGATGGCAGCTGCCCCTGTCGGATAGAGTTGCATCGGTGCTGTTGGATGAGGTGGTGGTGTAGGTGGTAGATAGGATATCATAGGTTGAGGTGGTTGTGAGGATGGATCCTGTTGTTGTTGTTGGTGATGGTGTTGTGAATTGTTATTTTGGTCTTTTTGATACCGTTGGGGCGGCGACATGATAATCCAATTGTCGCAGAACCTAGAAATGGGTTATACAATGATATAAATGCAAAGATTAGAAAAAAATAGAAAGATAAATGAGGCTCCATCTTATTTTCGATAAAAAACTTGGCACCTGTGTTATCTTAATAGAAATGACATAATTGTCTGAAATTCATCAGAAGGAAGTTCGTTGTTGTAAATAGGCTCGGAACGAAAAAAGAAGGTTACAGGCTTATAAATATCGAAACATTTCTCTTATACAGATATGACATTTAATAGCGAGAATTCCAGTTGATCACTGTTAAACTTCAGTAAATTTTGATTTTTTTTTCAGGTTTCCCAATTTTTTCTTTGAATAAACTTACTTTTTTCGTCAATATTTCAAATTTTCACACTTTTTAAAGAAAAAAAACAGTGAAATTAGCATATACATAACCTTTAAAAGATACAAAATCTTGTTTTTTTTTCAAGTTCTTGGCACAAAATCCCCGGAAAATCGAAAAATTTGAGCGAGAGAATTCAAAGTTCACTTGATGAGTTTGATCTGCAGGTAACCGGCTTACCGTAGTCTGCGCGGCAAAAAAAATCGTTTCAAAAATCATGAAATTCATTGTGCTAAAAAAAACCAAAAAAAATTGTTAACAGGATAAGTCCGAAAGTCCGAAATATTGAGATAAAATTTGTGAAAAATTTACAAGAATGATTATTAAAATGATTATAAATCATAAGTAAAGCGGAATTTCAGAGAGGAGATTTGAAATTTGAAAATTCTAGATCTATGCAGTTGCAGAATCACGAGTGATGACTTTTTTCGTTGAAATAATGGGTTCTCCAGTTATATCCTCAAGTGGAACATGCTGTTGTTGTTCAGCATTATGAAGTTGAGAGACACGTTTTCTCTGGTGATAGTAGATCGGCATGATGATGTATTTAAGAATCGTCCAAGGGAAAAAGTGGAATCCTAGCATTTGCAGCTCGTGGTTCAAGCAACCAGCAGTTTTCTTAGTTAGTCCGATCGAGCCAACTGCTTGGTGACAGAAGTTTTCAGGGGTCACGACAAACGTTGATCCTTCCTGAAACACGATTATGAGCTAGCTATATGAGACCGATCTTTAGACTTACAGTGTAATAGGTCATTTTAGTGGCGACCAAAGCCGGAATTAATGTTTGCACGTTGATTGTGTTGTACTCACGATCGATAGATTCGCACAAGAAAGTCATCAACGCCTGAAATTGCAATATCATTTAACGTTGTCTGCATCGTGTATTCCTCACCTTTGTTGCACAGTAAGCAGCGAGCATTGGGATTGGACGGACTCCTTGAGATGAAGAGAGCACGACAACTTGTCCTCCACCAGATTTCTCCATTGGCGCAAGAACACATGAAAGGAATTCAGCGGCTCCCAATCCATTAACTTTCAAAATTTGAGTATCTTCTGCTGGATTGTCTCCATACCTTTCCAGATTATCGCGTCCAGTTCCAACGCTGTTTACTGAAAAATAAGAAAAATCACCCTTTGGTAACACTTTTTGACAAGCGAAACACCCAATCACGAGGCTTTGATTCCTCCTACTTTTACTAAAATTCTATCAGAATTACCGGTTCTGGAATGCCTTTTTTCAATGCCAACGAATTCAAATTAGAAGATGTAGATGTATGTTTGTTCATGTTTCAAATGGAAATAGGGTTCTCGACTATTGTAAATATCTGAGAGGTTCTTGAAAACTAGGTACTTCTTATCGAAGGATCTTCCAAAAATGTCCTTATTTTCTCTACATCTTTCACAGTAATCAACCAGTCCAATCTGCCCCATATTCTCTTACCGACAAATCCAACATCGATGTCGCTGATATAATCTCGAAGGTGCGAGAAGTCCCCACTTCCAAAATCGAATACAAAAGTTTTGATTTGTGCGTCCGAGTGTTTCTCCTCTGAAAAAACAGCGAACTGGAGCAAAGATAAACTCTTGCAAGCTTACCAATCTCTGTTTTAACAGATTCCAATTTCTTTGGATTTCTCCCGATGAGAACGAATTTGCGAAGCCCTCTTTTCGCCAATTCCATAGTGTACGCCTTTCCGATTCCATCAGTTCCTCCAGACACAACAGTCCATCTGTGTTGGTATTGTTCCAGATTTGGTTTATAGAAAACAGGAGCAACGACGTAAATGAAAATGGCTTTCAGGAATGCGAAGAATGTTCTGGAAAAATATATAATTAAGACTTCAAATATTATTCTGGTACAAAAAAATCAGATCCATGGAAGAGAAACGCTGGTGGCCGTGTCCGAAGATCCCACAACGACCACTACCGTAAACTTAAAATATGTTTAATTTTCTCGGTTTTCACTGTTTTTCGTGGAGTTTTCTTTTAGGTTTCAAACAGTAAAAAAGTGAATGAAACCGCACGAAAATAAACAAAAAATTCGGAAAACAAACGAATTTTTGGGTTACGATAGTTGTCTCTGTGGGACCTTCGGCCACGCCCACAAGCTTTCCTCTTCCACAGACCTGATTATTTTAACACAAAACGTTGAAGAAAATTTTAGTTACCTGTATAACCGATATCCCAAATAGACAACTGGAATCATAAGAAGCATTGTGACAACCAATTGAGTTCCGTTTTCGATTTGAAAAGTTGGGAAAAGAGAGGCAATGAAGGATGGAGACGACGAATCCTCCGGAATGAGGGAAGAGGGAGAAAGAGGAGGAGGAGGAGTCGGCGCCATCTGGAACCAAAGAAGATGTTTAGATGTTATCTTGAAGAGGTACACAACAAGGTATAAAGAGTAAAGAAAACAAAACACAATTCAATTTTCAAGGGGTTTCGAATGTTGGGGGAGGTCTAAAAAGTAGAAGGTTTGATTTTGTAGACTATTGTCGAATTAAAAAAAGTGGGACCTGGAAAATTTCGCGGGCGACTTCCCGGTCAATTTTCCAGGTCTTGTCCCAAAAACAGTACGGTAGTAAACGAAACTTTTTTCTGTGAATTTAGTGGGATTTTCTGAACAAAATTTAGATTTCTTGGTAGGAAAATGATCGCTAGCATCTTTAGAATCTGTTTTTTATCGAAAAACCGAACTTAATTACGAAAGTAGCTCGAACGAATCGAAAATCTGAAATATTACGTTTTTGCCGCACTTTTTCGTAGATAAAAAAAAGCTACGCCTTTCAAATTTTCAGGACCCACTTTTTTTTTAATTCGACAATAGACCACTTTCGACTAAAAAAGGGATGTTAAAAATGGGATGGAAAAAAATTAAGAAGAACAAAGGAAAATTTGTTTTTGATGTTGTGTAGCCTACAATTTTTAGTCTACAAAAAAGTAAAACTTTGTAGGTCAAAAGATTGTTTGAAAATAGGTTCGCGTTTTTAAAAGTTTTAATAGTTAGATTTTGAATTTTAAGATAGAAGGAAATCACCTAAAATGCTGGTCTTACAGTCTTACTGTACCGCAATCCATCTATTAGAAGCGCACCCAAACCGTCAACTTTGAGCCCATATATCTCGATTCCTGTGAAAGATATCAGAAATTTGTCAACTGATAAAGTGTTGATGATATTATGATAAATAATTTATTAGGTGACACAATTTTGATATTTTTAATAGGAATCGAGATAATTGAGCTTAAAGTTGACGACTTCTATTAGAGCACATACGGTAGCGTAGACTGGCTGTATTTTCATTTCCATTCCAGGTTTTTCAGAAGTTTTTTAATATTCAAAAAAAAATCTCCTACAGGAGAACACAACTTTCTATTTATCCGCCATACAAAAAAAAGGAGAACAGAAGAGGTCAACGCATAGTTGCGATTGAAATGCAAAAGGAAAAACCAGTTCAAAACGAGGTGAAAAGAAAATATATTTGGAACGGAGGTGTTTCAAAATTGGGACAATCCACATGGACAAAAGGACCCAGATATCTTGTAAAATAGACAGAAGAAGAAGGAGAAGAACAAGAAGAACAAGAACAAGAAATTTCAGTGTGACTGATGAAAACTGTAATGAGAAAGACCAACGGTCACACTGTAATGATCCATATGTTATCAATGTTTTTCATCGTTTTCTGGGTGATTCAAGGCACCGCCCATATTGGAAAGTACAACAAAGTACATAACCCAAACGTGAGATAGTAAAAAAAAAACATTAAAAAATGAAGGATAACTAGAGGATCAAGAAAATCGTGTAAACTACCATAGTTTCTTCAACGGAAGCCTACTCTATTTGAGCACTTTGAACTGAATTATCTCAGTTCCTTCAAAAGATATCAAAAAAGTTATAAATGATAAATTGTTTATCATAATATTGCCAATATTTTATCAGTTGACAGTTTTCTGATACCTTGCTTAGGAGCCGAGATAATTTAGCTCAAAGTGCGTATAGGATTGTCCTCCGTTAAGGAATGGTATTGTGGTTAGGGAAAGATATTTAGTCACAGAGTAAAACATACAAGGACTGGAAAAAGGAAAATTGTCAATTTAGAGTATTCAAACATGAGATTTATTTTGAAAGCGGCCTAGGAGTTCATCAGAGTTTATTCAAAAGCTATATAATTTCGGAATTCGCTCGATTCTATTGTAGCATTTGGAAGTGGTTAATGACTTTTTTTTGCAGTGGCTTCCCCCCAATGAAAAAAAACCTTGCCCATTTATGATATCACTTGAAGAAAATCACTTTTCTGAATGACCAATCTCTAAGAATCAACTAAACAATATCACAACAAAAATATACACAAAGAGAAAAAAGGAAACAAAAGTTGGAGAGGTGAAGATGCGTCTAGGTACTTGATGATGGAGTGTAATAAAATAAGAGGAGGTAACAGGAAAATGAACAAAAAGAACATCATACTGCTGGCAAACAAATTGTGGTCAGCAGATGAGAGGGTCAATTATTACAGTTTCTTCGGATGAAAAAGAAGAAGATTAGATGGAAAATTATAGGGTTTCAATAATAATTATGTAGAGAATCAAGAACTAAAGAATCAAGAACCTTGAATGCATGGTTTTAGAGATTCTAAGCTTCTCAAACCGATAGTAGATCGCATAGTAGTTTAAAAAACAGGAACTAGTAGATGTAGATGTAAATTAAACCAGCGATTAAAGCGATCCGTTTCGTAGATGAAGGAATGTTTCTTATGGTCGAAAAGAAGGAGTTGCCATAAAATGCAATACACATAACACAAGGTTAAGTATTTCGTCTACAGACTTCTCGTTGAGAAAATGTTAAGAATATGTGATATCTCTCTGATATGATACATATCTTTTTGGGGAAAGATAAAAGTGATCAAAAGGACAGCAAAAGTTGGACTATCGGTAAAGATCTAGAAATTCGGTAAAGATCTAGAAAGTTTGATTTCTTAGTCTTTATGAGATCAATCTGAATGCAATCGGATCAATCTGATCAATTTAAATCATATGGAGCCATAGGATTTCAAAAGGAAAAATTTTAATATTGTTTTCAGCTTTGTAACTTTTCAGGGTTTTCGAGATATTCTGAAAAAAAACAATCAGAAACCGCCGGGGACTAGACAACTTAAGCTCGTCCATAAGGGCGAACTTCCGACAAATCGTTTTTTTGTGATTTTACCCAATTAACGATTTTCTAAAAAATTATTTTTAATTTTTATGTGAATCTACATAATTTTCTGCACAAAATAAAACAATGAAAATTTCACCGTACACTACCTTCAAGTACCTTCAAGCAATGAGCTGAAAAAAAACTGACGCAAGAAATCTTCCAGTAAAACTCGACTGAAAATTTCTTTCTTCACTACCAACTTCTAACAAAAGACTCAACGTTATTATTACACCTTTTCAGATGTAATTCTTTTTGAAGAATCAACAACAAATAACAGAATTGGTGGTTCCGGTCACAGTCACAGCTACACAGATTGTTTTCTTTCTTCATATCCTGCAAAACAAAAATGTTCTACCTCCCAATTCGACAAACTATCCTCTCCTCCCCTTCGGAATGGTCATCATCAGAATAACGACGTTTTGTCGTTGAGGTGGGATGACCTTGTTTAGAAACATGGAGAAATTATTTATCGGTTGCTTTCTAGACTATAAGAAGGCGTCAAAATGATGAAAGTTTCAATGATCAGACACATTTGCAGATGGAAATGTGTCGGGAAATTGTGTTTACTGTAGCCTAGTGTATGCTAACAAAGAATAGAAGCACTGGAAAAAAGTGGTTTCCCTTTTTCAGTTTATTTTCCAGATTTAAAATAAAAAATCAATAGCTCTCACTATCAGAAGTCTCGAGTCGCCCTCTAAATGATTTATGATGAACACCTAAAACCTGTAATAGAACGGCGCAACTTTGAACTTTGAAACAGTTCATCTCGATCCCTGTCAAAGATACAAAAAAGTTTTGTTACAGGTTTTACCGTAGTTTAGACATTTGAAAACTATTTTCATTTGACAACCCAGTGTTCAATTTTCATTTTCATTCAAATTTTTTGTTAGCTTGTTTCAAATATCCATATTTAGAAATTTCTGACCACCCAGCACAGATGGTAAAAATCAGCTAGATTTTTCCATAACTTTTGAATTTTTTGGAAGTATATCCTTATAGAAAAACATTAAAAAATAGCTGTTTTTGCTGAAAAATCGGCAATTCAAAAATGTAGCTCTAAAAACGGAGCTTGACCCGTCCCAATGCAAATATCCCTCCGACTTATGTAGCATTATTTTTTCAGTATCTCATAAAACAAAGGATCGAATCCATCTACCTGAAAAGCAATTTTATTATCCAATATATCTCCTCCACGAGACACTTTGATCACTGATCCTCCATTCGATCACTTTTTGTCAGCTGGTGGTCCACTTTCTCTTCTTCTTTCCTCTGGGTTTTCCCACGCAATGTCACAAAAACAAATGGACACATGAGATAGAGAGAGAAGGTGTTGTCTGTTTCAAAAATGATGTCTAGATCAACCACGTAAATAGGTCAATCGAGAGGGTGAGCTGGAGATAAAAATAGATTCAGAAGAAGCTGTGTTGACGTGCCGTTCTCAGAAGAGATTCAAGATCAGGAATCAGTTATGAAGAGCATAGTTTTAGCTTCTTGGAAACAATTTATCTTTCTCTGCTAAACTTTTGCGAGTTTAAGAATCGAATGCGTATTGTGGGCTTGCTACAGTACTTTTGATCCTAAAATCAATTTCCGATCACCTACTGATCAGATACAGGGATATTCGCAATGGCTCTTTTGAGTCGAAAATTTCGAACATCAAAATTTCGGAATTTCGGAATACTCCGATTTTGAAAATTTTGGAATCTTCGGAATTTTGTGAAATTAAAACGCGAAAAATTGACAGATAGATTCCGAAAATGCGAAAAAATTAAAGATAATTCCGCTCAAGTCCCACAAGGAAACTTTCCGTGCGCATTTGTTATACCGTAGTCCAAAGCTCGGATTTCGAAAAAAAAGGTTCGGAAATATTTCGATCAAAATTTGATTCCGAAAATGGTCTGAATTTTTAGAATTCCGAATTCCCTTCTGAACATTCCTGGTTCAGATAAGCCAAGATGTTCGGCTCTTATTAACTTCAACTTTATTTTATTTTTCTCTCTTTTATCTACTTTCAGAATTCTCAAAAACTCGAATTCAGATGTTGCACATCTGGAGATCACGTACATCAAAACCTTCTTGTTTTGTCAGAATTTTATTATTTTTATTCAGGAAAACATCTGGTGCCATGGGGAAACTTTTACATCAGAAGTTCTAAAAATAAAAGTAAAGCAAGGGAAGAGAGAAAAGTGAAGAGAGGGTGGTTTTTGAATAGTTTACATGTCAAAAAAGTATTATATACAACAATTAGAGGAATTTAAAAGTCGATAATTCCAAAAAGATGATTTCCAAGATCAGCTTTGTTGGTTGAATAAAAGAGCTGATTGAAGTAAGTGTTCCAGGTCTCTGGCTTCATTTGTGGAACGTATTGTCCTTTTTTGTCCTGAAATATTGGAAAAAGTAATATCCCAAAACTATTGTTAGCTTACCACTGAGAACTTGTGGAATGCTGCATCACACTCAGACTGATCGAATCCATAAGTGTTCATTCCATCGGTATATTCAGCAAGATCCATAACTCCATCACATGAAACGTCGAAGAGTTTGAACATGAAGTTCTGATAGTCCTTGAACCATTTTGGCTCAGTTTGAGCATTTGTTTTCTTCAAGAGACCAATCCATTCATCGATAGAAATCAATTGATCCTTATCAGCATCTGCGATTGAGCACAATCCTTCCCACAGAGCAGCAAGCGACTTTTTGGCGAAATCAGTTTGAACAGATTCCGCTCCATAGATGTCACGGACTTTCTGGAATGATAGATAAGAATGTAAGAAAAAACGAAGTTCTTACCTTCACAACCAAATAGAAATCTCCCCAATCGACTTGATGAGATGCATTTCTGTCTGTAAAATATGAATTTCTTATTTTTTAAAAATTAAATTCAACTAACCAAAGAAAAGTGAGAAGATTCTTTCCCATTTCTTAATAAGGAATGGGTCCACATCAGAATGTTTCTTGATGAGCTCCTCGATTGGAACAGCGGTAACTTTGGCGACGACCATGTCTTCAAAAAAAAAGAAGAATTTGTTCGGGAAGAAGGGAAAAAACAGAAGAATGAGGAATCTGAGTGGCCTGTCGGATGACTTTTATCTGTCTTGAATCCGTCTGACTCCGCCCCCTTGTGTACGAATTGAAGTGTTGTGCTCTGATGATCATAGCTCCTCCTCAATGCATTCTGCCGCCCGCACACAACACGAAATATTACACGGAATACTTATGTGAATCATCCCCGGGATGTGAAGGCAAAAAAAATTGAAAATCGAGAAAAAATAATGGGATTTTGAGGTATTTTTAGATTAAAAGATGATGGGTTTGAATAACAGGATGAGGTTTTTGAGTTAAGTTCTTGAGTTAGAAGAAGAATAAGAGAATTATGGGGACGTTGAACTTTTAGGTTTGTCTTTTAATAGAGGAACGATTCGGTTTGAAATATTGAAGAAAAATGTCACTGGAAGTAGGGAAAGTTTCAGGTTCGTATCATTCGAAATTTTGAAATTCTGGAGTTTTGAAATTCTGAGATTATGAGATTCTGAGATTCTGAAATTCTGAAATTCTGGAAAGTTGAAAGTTCCAAAAGACTGAAATTCTGAAGCTCTGCAATTCTGAAGTTCGGACTAGCGGAATGTATGAAATCCTGAAACTATAAAGTCTGAAATTCTGGATCTCGGGAAATCTGAAATTCTGAAATTCCGAAATCCTGAGATTCTGAGATTCCTGGGTGCTTGAAATTCCAAAATCTGAAACTCCGATGATTTAATTCTGAGATTCTCAAATTCTGGAAATTTGAAAGTTCCAAAATTTCTAAAGCTCTGCAATTCTGAAATTTCTATGGATGAATTTTTAAATTCTCTAATAAAACTTTTTTATTATTCAAAGCCCTCATGAAATTGCACAAATAGCATTTTTGAGTTGTTTTTTGAATTACATAAAAAAGTTTTATCAGACGAATTAAAAATTCATCCATAGAAAATGTAGAGAAAATAATTGCGGTTTTTTTGAGCTATAGAACTCCTAGGAATGTCAAAAACTGAAAGAGGAGATACATTTTTTTTTCTGTAAAACACTTTCAAAAATGACCATTTTTGACATTTTTTCTTCCGGAAAAGGACCATACATGAATCTATAACGACTAATTAATTTTTAAAGAATCATTTGGATCATCTTGGAACTCCACAAAATCAGATAAAAAATTCTGAAATTATGGTTTGAGACCTGCAATTGTGATCGCGCCAAACTTTTTTCTGTAGATCAAAAATTAATTTGCAGTTCGGAAATGTTCTGTGGGAGAGCGTGACATGTGAAATTCTGAAAATCTTGAAATGTTAAAACTCGTACCAGCTGAAGTTCTGAAAATCAGAAATTTCTGAACTTTGAGATTAGTGAGATTCTGATATTCTGAAAGTGTGAGCCTCAGAAAATCTAAAAACTTTAGAGTCTGAAATGCTGAAAATCTGAAAAATTCTGAAAATCTGAAATTTCGAATAACTGAAATTCGGATCAGCTGAAGTTCTGGATTTTCGATTTTTTCATATATAAAAATCTGGGACACTGCAAAAAAAAAATAGAGAAAATGTTTTGGTCGGAGTTCCCCTATACAGAATTTTGATCTTCACTCACTGTCAAGCATCCAACTTCCAAAAACAGAGATTGCAAAACTTCAATTAAGAGGAGTTGTGTGATTTTTTCATTGTTTCCCCGTCATTTCTCATCTATTTTCCTTCCCATTTCCACTAGTCAATTTTGTCTTTTCTGTGCTCAAATGGGTGCCCACCAAATCATCTTTCTTCGTCCTTCTCGTTTTTTCTTATTTCGAAAAGAGAGAAGAGGTGAAAGTGAAATAGGTTTTTGAAAAACGACGAAGAAGAGCATCTTTTCGTCCACTTTCCTTATTTTCTCCTTTCTTATTTTCCATTTCAAAAACGTCTTTTTTCTTGTTTTCTTCTTCCACAAAACTTTTCCAGTTTTCAATTACCTTCCGTGTCTGTTTTCTAAGACTAGACTGTTCAGCAGAAGATGTTCCGAATATCTGTTTTCTGCATTTGGATTTTATTACGATTCGGGAGTCCGATAGATTATAAAGTGTCAGTTTTAATTGTGGCTGAGCCAAATCAAGACACATTTGAAGAGTTGAAAGTTTCTGTTACGGTGGGTAAATACCTAAAAAATGGAAAAATGATCAAAAAGCGGACTCAGAATGCATTTGTGGAAGTGTTTGGAAAAACTTCATATCATTTGGGAAATCATACAATTACAGCGGCATTTGTAGATGCAAAAAGGTGAATCTGTTAAGCTGAAAAAATCATTCACGTCGTCGATTTCAGTGGAGAAAACCGACTGGAGCTAACACAAGATATCGTGTGTAGTCAGATGTTGAATTCCTCATTGGCTTCAGTGATATTCTCTCCGTCACTGACATCTTCAGCACGATATATTGATTTAGTCACATCTTCTGCTTACACTCTTTCATTTTATAAACTTCCAGTAATAGGAGTAATGGTTAGAGATGCCGAGTTTAGTAAGAAGGTGAGTTTATTTATACAAGGTGACGCACATTTACCCGGACTGATAAAAACGGGTATATCTGCGGATGTAAGTATCGTGAAAGCACGAAAATTGGTAGAAATATAACTTCATATTTGATTCAAAGTTTCTCAAATTTTGAAAGCGATTCCTCAAGTCTAGGTATTGTTATGACTGTCCAAAAAATCATAACCAGCGTCGTGATGTTTCTTGCACGCCGATGAAGCAACTTTGACAAATGATAACTCAGCTTGTTGATCTAATAACTTGCAATTTGGCCAGTTTACTGATGAACTATTTGAATTTTTATACTCCAAATTTGAGCTCAATACAACGCTTTTCTCAAATTTTACACTAGTACGAACTTTAGTCCGGTTAATTATGCGCCACCCTGTAATTATACAAATTTTTTCAAGAACAAAACTTCAGAACATCTATCCGACGTTCGTCCGTCCGACAGCTCCACTTTCTGATGAAGCGTTCGTGTTTCTGCACATGTTGTTGAGACTGCAGTATCGTCAAGTAGTTGTTGTAATTGTGAAACGAGATATTAATGCGGATCAGTTTGTTGCTGAATTTGAAAGAAGAAGAGTTGAATTCAAAATTATTGTAAATTATAATTGCCCTAGATTGCATCTGAAACTATTTTTCAGGTTCAACGATACATTGAGGTAGAACTTAATGAGAACCTGAATGACACTTTGGCTGAAAGTTTTGAAGAAGTCACTTCAAATATCATTTTGCTATTTGCAAAGTGAGTGTTACACTATTTTTATGAACATTTCAATAGTAGAGTTCCAGAAAAGACGACGCCGTGCGAATATTTGCAAACGGAGGTGATCTAACTGGAAAAGGGAAAGTTTGGATAGTAAGTGAAAGTGCTGGCGAAGCCCATAATGTTCCGAATGGATCTCTCGGATGTCGTCTTGGACAAACTGCTCTTTCCGTCTTGAGAGATTCGTTTTCAATTTTGAAATCTGCAATGGAAACTATATTTCGAGAATCTAACATCGACATTTTTCCCCCAGTTGAATGTGATAGAGACAGTGTGGACGCTGAATGGAATTCCATCCAAGCTCCAGCACTTCTGAATGAAATCTGTGGAACATCGACTAGTCGAGTACATTTCAACGATAGATGTGAGAGAATTGGAGTGGAATACGATATTATCAATTTTCATATGGAGAGGAGACAAGTTGGAAATATGGTACCATACCATTCATACCAGAAACTTCAGAAATTACTGTTATCTCTTTAGATCGGTGATCTGCTCCGTTTGGATGAGGAATCAATTGAATGGGCTGGAGGAGCAAAACCTCTCGAAATTTCTCTCCCTAAACATCTTCGAGTGGTTACTGTAGCTGATCCTCCGTTTGTTTATACAACTCCCGTAGGATCACCATCTCAATGTGCAGAACTTGGGAGTACTGTAGTTGAATGGTCGAAATTTGACAAAATTGTTGTGGTGAGAAGTTTTTTATATTCCAAATGTAAGTACGTCTTCAGCCTGGTCCTTGGTATTCGTGTCCGATGACTTCTGCGAATACCACTGAATATTTTTGCTGTGCTGGATTAGCGATAGATCTTCTTTCGAATTTATCATTACCTGAGGTACACAATCTCAACATTTTTAGAAAAAGAAATTCTAAAATTCAGGCGAATAATTCAATTGACACAAGTTTCACATTCTCTTTGCACCTTAATGAGTCGTATGGAGTCATTCAGGCGGCTGAAACGGTAATTTTATTTAGGTTTTAGAATTTAGAAAATTTAAGAATTCTATTTTCCAGACAGGAATAACAATTGGTGGAGTTATTGGAGAACTTGATGGAGACACAGCTGATATGGCGATTGGTGGAATAACCATAAACCCGGAAAGAGAGAGAATTGTAGATTTTTCCGAGCCATGGCTGTATCATGGAATCAGAATCCTAGAGAAAAATGTAAATACAATTAATAAACTTAACATTTATGAGAGTTCTTCCAGATTCCTCGTGATTCTCCAATGCAATCATTCCTCCAGCCACTTCAATCTTCTCTATGGACAGCTCTTTTTATATCCGTAATACTTGTTGGTCTAGCTATTTTCTTCTTGGATTTCAAATCACCATTCGAAAGATTTTACCAAGCTGACAGAGAAATGGATCAAGATTTGAAGAAAGAATTCGAGCTTTGGGTTGGGAATGATGTGGATGAAAATGTCAACTTTGGAGAGGCAATGTGGTTTGTTTGGGGAGTTCTTCTGAATTCTGGAGTATCTGAAAGTGAGTTAAAAATCAAGAAAGAAATAGGAAGAGCATTCAGAAACGCCAAGAAGTTGTTCTGCTCGAGTTCTAGGAATCGTTTGGTGTGGATTTTGTATGATTATGGTTGCATCGTATACTGCGAACTTGGCAGCGTTTCTGGTGTTGGATCAACCCGAAAAAGGATTGACGGGAGTCACAGATCCAAGAGTAATAAGTTGTTTAGTTCAAAAAGCAATTGAAAACGCTTTCAGCTTCGTAACCCATCTGCCAACTTTTCGTTTGGTACTGTTCTCAATTCGAATGTGTACCAGTATTTCAAACGACATGTCGAACTTTCCTCAATGTTCAGAAAAATGGAACCACACAATGTGCATAGAGCTTCGGAGGTTGGAGCATTTCTATTACTAAAAAGTATGAATTCGAATCAATTTTCAGGCAGTTCATTCACTTTTGAATGGATCTCTAGATGCATTCATTTGGGATTCGACTCGCTTGGAATTCGAAGCCGCCCGTCATTGTGAGCTTAGAACACGTGGAAGTTTGTTTGGAAGAAGTGCATACGGAATTGGATTACAGAAAAATAGCCCATGGACACCTCATATTACGTCTGCAATTCTAAGAATGTCTGAAAGTGGGTTTAACTTGTGGAACAGCATGAAAAAATTTCTTTAGGTGGAGTAATGGAAAATTTGGACCAAAAATGGATCGATCGAGGAGGACCGAACTGTGTCGTAGAAACTCATAAGTCTCCAGCAAGACTTGGACTTGTTAATATGAAGGTAAATTATGATAACACCTGCTTTAGAAGGGCTGAGCCACTCTCTAGGGGGCTATACATTAGAGGGACTCTCCAATTAGAGGTTGCACTTGAACTTTTCGTGGGATCACTGACGAGGGCACTTCTATTCGAAAGTAGAAGGGCCCTTCAATTAGAAGTATATTCACTATTTACCTTCAGGATATATTCATTTTGGTTTCATCTGGAGTGGCTCTTGGAATATTTTTCAGTTTTGTGGAGGTTTCGTACGGAAGGTGGCTAGCTAACAAAGGGTGAGAGTTTCAAAAAAAAAGTTTTGAAAATTGAAAAGTATTCCAGACGACGTCGAATAATTGTTCACCGTTACTTCCACAAATGGCATGAGCTAACATTTGGAAAAAAAAGAAGGACATATCGATTGAAATATAATTTGGATCGATTGATAATAAGGAGAGGATTTTCTGGATTAGAAAGAGGCACATTCCAAGAAATGAGGGAAAGACGACAGATCAGAGGACTACCGACATCAAGAATTGATCAATATTGTTTTTGGCCTGATTTGGATTTCAGGGATAAACCAGTGGTTCTATTCTGTTCTCGATGCAGAGTAAGTTGATCAGTGAGGCGAAAAAGAAATAGGAAAGTGAAGGTAGTGAAAGTTGCAAAATGTTCGTCTATACATAGTTTGATCTAAACATTCTGTTGTAACACTTTCCTCCAATCATGAACAGGTTTCAGGTCCTAACTTTCTATAGTTTCATTTTATCAATTTTCTGAGAAAGACATATATTTAGGAGCAGTCTGTGTTTTTCGAAAGATATTTTTCGAAAACGGCAAACTTTGTAAAACGTTTTAAACGTTCGACTCACTAAGCTGGACCCAGTGGGAAAGACCATTCTGTCATGGTGGCCTGACTTTTGCAAGTTGAGTTTTTTAGGACATCAACTTTTATGGCCTACAAATGACCTGATATTTACCATTGTGGGATTCCTAGGCTACTAACCATGGTAGAAAACTCAACCTGTGAAAGTTAGGTCACCATGTTAAGAAGGTCTTGAAAACCCACCAAGTCTATCTCAGGTCATTTCTTTGTCATAACAATTGGTAGCCTAGAAAACTCAAATGGTGGAAGTTAGGCTTCCATGTTCAATGACCTATAGATAACACATCAGGTGCATGTTAGATCATTTCTGGACCATCATCAAGGGTGGCCTAGAGAAATCATGTTGAGAAAGTTTGACCACTATATTCCTCAAATGAAATAAGAGTGTGTTATTTTCGACATCTCGTATGTAACTAAAATCACACACTACTCAGGAGATGAAGAGCTGCCTCTATCGCTTCCACAAAAATCCATTTTTTTCAGAATATCGTCGAGTCAGATGTCCATCGCGAGACGGGTCTTTTCGCATTCCTTTCCTGTTTTCTCTTCGCAATCATTTTCCTTTGGCCCTGTTCCCCACTTCCCTGCTTTTTAAGTTCTTTCAGTGATTTTGTTCATATTTGTCCACTCTGTTCTCATACGATGGGAAGGTTTCGACGAGCTAGATCAACTAGATTTTATGTCTAAATTAGACTAGCGTCCTCGGCCTACGGTCGACTCCGCTAGGCGCGGCTGTGTCGCGCATCTAGGTGGAATCAAATGCAGGGTCTTCGGCCCTGGCTCTGTGGAATCAGTTAATCCAAGTTTCAGTATGTTCTCCCTTCGCTCGCTCTGCTTGCTCAGGTCGAACAGACCGGACAGGACCTTCGGCCCTGTAACTTTACAAGTTGGAAATTTAGGCGAATCAGTTACAAGGCCTGCGGCCCTGGCCCAGCGCTCTCTCAGAATAATTTCTAAAATGTTTGGATTTTATGTATTAGCTATCAGAGATATCAGCAACACCTAAAAAGTAACAAAAACTTTAGTGAGAAGATGTTCCAAGAGAAGAAGGGAAAAATTTTTCGAGGCAAATTTTTCGAACGATTTTTCACGATATTTAATATTTAGACGAAATTTTTTTCAATTTTTTCTCGATTTTTGTGCGGTTTCTGACCGATTTCTCTCGAACCAGTGTACCTGGAAAAAATCTGAAAACAGAAAATGAAATTAGGGATCTTCCTTTATGTTGATACAAAAAATCAAACCAATCCAGTGAGTGGTTCTCGCGTACCAAGAGGATTAAGCTGGACCATCGGAATTTCGAACATTTCACTCAAAACTTAATAACTTTTTTCAATTTTAAGCAAATCAGATCATTTTTTGTCTCAGCATAGGTATCAAAAGTGTGCATCTCGTAACCGTGGCGAATTTTTAATTTAGGCCCTAATCCGGTAGAAAAAACCGAAAAACCGAAAAAAATCGGATCCACTTGTTCGTTTTGCGTCATATCTTGGTTCAAAATGTACCAATTTCGACGATTTTTAGCAACCGGGTAGCCATAGAGATTTTCTATCGATTGAAAAAATCAGCCAAAACGGACCGGAATCGACCTGGTTACGATTCTTCAAAAAAATTTCTACAAAATTTCTACAAAATGTCGAAAATGGGGGTACGTGATACCTACTCGATTTAAAGGAAAAAGGTGACGGACCTGTTGGCTGTTAAAGTTTTAATTTTATATAAATTTTTTGCATACTGTACAGAATTCAAAAAATAATAGAACAAAGAGTTTATTCAGGAAGCCTTGCTATTCGTATAGCAATTTTCGAAACAGCAATACAGGAAAATGAATGAGCACATATCATCAGAAAGTAGCCGTTTTGATTCAAAATTCCAGAAGCAGGTAGAAGCAGGTAATTAGAAGAAGAAGGAGAAGAAGAAGAAGAGATTTCAGAAGATCTTAAAGGTCTTCGACATCGACAATCATCAATTTTTGTCCATCCAAACTGGACAACGGAAGAAAATATACATCGGTACAGTCATCTTGGTATGTCTGAAATAGTGAAAAATATGAAAAATCAAGATTCGGAGAGATCGGTATTACCGCCAGATTGTCAATGATTTTTTCATGATGAACTGGGTTACTGGACAAGTATAAAACACGGTTGACAATAGCAACTCCAGATGAAATATCAGTGAGTAGAGAAGCAAGTTCTTCGGCAGACTTTGGCCAAGTTCCACGGAGGGATTGAGCCAGAATACGAATTGGAGCATCAATCTGAAAATAAAATTAAAAGTTACTAAAATTAATAAAGAATACAAACATCAATGTTCTGTGGTCCAAAGTGTCCGAGGAATGAATGGATGTATTGAATCAATTGAATATCACTTCGAATGTCTTCTGGAACCATTGGCTCCCATGAATTGCGATGAACAGAGCAGCCCCCTGAAAACTTATTCATTTGAAAAACTTTGAAATTCTAGGATACCTTCCATTGCAGAATCATGAATACGTTGAGTGTAATATGAGCTAGTGGACAGACACATTGTATTCGAAACCACTTTGACATTTCGATTGAACATTCGAATGAATCCAGTTGGCCATTGAGTCAATGCTTCACTAATGAAAATTGAAGATGTGGCCGAAGGAATTCGATTTGAAAAAAGAGTTCGCATCGATTGAAGAACATTGTGGTACGGTAGATAGGCGTGAGTTTTCAGAAGATTTACGAGTTCTGTCTCAAATTTTTGCAATACTTCGTATTCGGCAATAGTCCAACATTCAGAAGAGAGAGTCTGAAAATTGAAAAATTTTGAATAAATATTCTAAATCCATTTTTTACATCTTGAACGATTTCTCTCTGCTCGAAAAGTCTTCCTTTCGCATTGTTGCTACATTGGACCAATTCAGTCAGGGCTGTTTCATCTCCGTACTGAAAAGTAGAATTTTCAAAATATTTAGAACTTTTTTGAACTGACCGTCCCATCTGGAAAACAGAATCTGACAACCAAAGTGTGTCCACGATAATTGAACCCGTTGAAAACTTTGAAAACTTTCAACGCATCTTCTGGACGATAGAAATTGAGAAACCATTTTCCTGGAGGGACAACAACGACATCTTGAATCGAAATATCCTCCCGAATCTCTTTTTTAACTAGATTCAAAATGATATTCTTATGAACAGTTGGAAGACCAGGAACATTCAAAAACAGAAGTTTGGCACGAACAAGAGTGTCTGACCTAAGCATATCGGAAACTCTTACATCACGAGATGGTGCTGAATTCTGAGAATCTTCAGAATAGACACGTGTCCAATAATCCCATCCAGATTGAGATGATGGCTTCTGAGTGACTGAAGGAGTGGGAGATGGAGAAGCATTGACGTGACGAGTCTTTTTCTGAATTTTGATGTTCTGACAAAAAAGACAAATTCAGGCGAGTTACCGGAATTGTAGTTCGAAACGATGAGAAGGTTAGAGTTCGCATTGTTGGATTGATCGTTGTGAAACAAATTTCAGATTGATTATCTTGTTCTTATCGTGTGTAACAAGATATACGAAAAAAGGAAAACGTGTTTAGAGAGGTACACGATTCAATTTTGACTGTTAAATGATTTATGATTAACCTAAAAAGAATTGAAGGTTCTGAAAATGAATAGTCTTTGGCAGTTAATGCCTGAATTTAAAGCCTATATTATTTTGAGTATGGGATTTTAATAATGGGTTTGTAGTTTGCCAGACCTTTGGCCTGCTAATTCGCAAATTAGAATCTGTAGTTTTGCAGACCGTTGCTCAAAGTTGCCAGGAATAGTCGAATTAATTTTAATAACTGTGTTGTTACCGGTGATGTTTGCCATTCAGCGAACACGATTTTTGACAGATTACTTTAGGTTTTAGGTGTTTTATCTGAAACATACAAGTGTAAGTTTCTCCATTCTCTCTCTCCATTTTTCTTTTTCTTTTATTTTTTTTCCTCCTCTCCCTCTTTTTTCCAACCAATACAATTCCTTTGTCACACCGATAAAATCGTTCTTCTACTTTTTTCCTCTCTATCTCTCCCTCTCAATGTGGTTGTAAGGTCACCTTGAGAGGGGTCAGTGACACTAGAAAAGAAACAGTTTCTTGTACGAACCATTACAAAATAGTACATAGAATATAGGAGAACCCAGACATTTCAGAAGCTTCTCGTTTCGTTAATGCCCACAAAAAGGCTATTGTTCGGACATAAACGGGCGGTCCCACTCTGAAACGGACCCTATATAATGAAACATTGAGAATCTCTGAAGTATCCCGTTGAGAATTTCGGGTTGAAACCTAATAATGAACACCTATTCTTTCTTGATTTCTGCAATGGGAATTTTCCTGGGACTTGTAGACAGTTCAAGTCCAAAATCAAGCACTTCTTGCTCTCTGATGACTAGTTGTGCCGTTGAAAAGTGTTTGAATAAAGGTGAGAAATATTGTGGAAATGGGCTGAATTCATATATTTTTTTGCAGATATGGTACGAAAGATTGTGATAGAATCTTCGAGAGAGGAAGTGTTTGGAAATCTAGTCGAGAAGTAAGCTTCTTCACAATTCAATTGTTATAAAACTTCTTTTTTTAAGATTTGATATGGTTTGCATTGCTGCCAAATGTGGAAATGAGTGTTCTCAATGCAAGCATTGTCATTACGCTTTGGAGCAAATGAGTGCTTTGGCTCAGGGAGAAAAGACTTGTAAGAATTCTGCGAATCTTTAAAACTTTTCAATGAACTATTATCAGCTGGACTGTGCCCAAAACTCGAAACCTGTGTATTCAACTGCCTCACTGAAGACGTCTCAAAAGTTCTTTCTTGCGTTGCCACTAGATGCAATGTTCACTGTTACGATGGAGACTGCCCATCGTGTAAAATGATCTCCAGACGCATTTTTTCCACAATTTGCAAGCAACATTCAATGACATCTCAACCACAAATCAAATACGAAGGTTTGTTGCTTTTTGAAATCCTTATTATTTTGGGAGTGGTGGATAATTGCTAGGTGCCAGCTGAAGAGGCTCGGACGGGTGAACACCGTCTAGTCGGCTGCTGGACGGTGCTGGTGGGCCGTTGACGGCTTGTCGACGGATCATTCATTTAATTTGAATAGAGTGCCGGTTCGGAAACCGGAGCTGCGTTTTTTCTTTATTTAGCTGGTTCCGCTCCTTTTTTAGCCAGTCGCGCAGTGCCTGTGATTGCTCTATGATTAACTTCCAGGAACTTGTCCAAATCTCTTCATGGAACTCGCTGATCATTATGTGGCCAAAAAGAAGTTGTAATAAGGATTTGTGATGCCAAAAAAGTCTATGATCTCAATCGTGACTTCGATTTTTGTGTAAATATAGAACCTACTGAAACACATTTAAATAATTGTAATTTGAATAAATTAGCTTATTTCTTCAAGTTGTTTTTTTTTGCTCCATGAAATGCGACTTTCTGAAAGCTCTTGTGTGATATTTTTAGATTACCATAAAACCTGTATTAGAAGGGCCCCTTTAATAGAAGATCTCCTGTAATCGAATATATCTGTAACTCCTTCTGATACAGGTCCTACGGTATGTCATCAAAACTTTCCATGACCTTATTCGATTTGCGCTATTGTCTTTCCGAATTGTTTTTTTAACCCTGATTCCTGGCATAATCCAGACCAAAATAGATATCCAAGTAATTCGATTTCTTTTAATGAAATTTTGGTTTTTGTCCCTAGATTGAATAACTCGCTATTTTTAAAGGAAAGTTTTATGTTTTGTCCTTTTTTCTATGTGTTTTCAATACTTTTGCCGTTGTTATTCTATTTCAAACGAGGTTCCTTATTTGATAAAGGCTTAATAGAATCTCGACTGTCGGCTTATTACTTTCGGTCAGAAGTTAAAAGGAGTTCGGATTTTGAATGAATATTTTTCAGGTTCTGGTTGGAACCTTCCCAAAAGCGGCTGTTTAGCGGGCCATGGTCAGATTTTGGTCGGAAATTGAAAGTTGAAACACTACGAGGTCGGAACTTTATAATAAGCTGGTAGGAGTTTGGTCGGCTTTAGTAGAGATTTTATCCGGAGTCTGACCAACCTCCTACCAGAGTTTTCCTGAGTTATTATGCCATTCTATTATTCTTACTCGAATTTTCAAATTCATGTCAAAAAAAAGGTGAAATCAAAAATGTATTTCATATCATTATTATCCTTGCCTGAGAAATAAGTCAATACCATGAATGTGTTATTTTGTTTTCGTTTTGAGAGATCCTCTTGGCCCATACTCCCGGGGTACATCAGAATGGGGTACATCGGGGGTACATCGTGCTCATGGGGTACAAAGTCTCAGGGGGTACATAGTCTCATGGGGTACATTTTAGGTATAATCTCATGGGGTACATTTTTCGCTTTCTCATGGGGTACATCTCTGAAATACTCAGGGGGTACATCGCATTGTCTCAGAGGGTACATCGCATTGAATCTCATGTGGTAAACATCAAGTCGGATTCTACAGTTTCAGCGCTCATAGCTGCCTGATTTTTCCAACATTCGTTACATATTATGAGTGGTTTTTTTTGTTTTCCATGTAGTTATTCAAGAATGTAATTTCGCTTTTGATGTGGTTTGGAACAGAGATAACTGTCCAACATTATTTCTTCTCATTCATAATTCAGAAACATTTGGCTGATTGAAGAAAAATTGCCTATTGCAAGATATTCGGAGATTTCGGCAAATTCTCTTATACAACCATCTCTTATACTACTTTTCTCTTATACTACCGAGTCTCTTTTACTACCACTGTCTCT